ATAGATAGATAGATAGATAGATAGATAGATAGATAGATAGATAGATAGATAGATAGATAGATAGATAGATAGATAGATAGATAGATAGATAGATAGATAGATTCGCTCTAAAAGAGCACAGAATGTCATGCTCTGCCTCCAACTGCTCTCTGCCACCTGCCAGCGCTCTCGGCCACGCCCACTTTTCTGCTGCAGAGCGGAGATCATGACATGCTGCAAGAAGGAGCTTCTCCCAGCACATGTGGGCTGCACAAAGGTGCAGCAGGTGCTAAATAATTTATTTTAAATTAAAAATACATGCTGATCATGTGGATCATCCATCAATCAGTCACTTGTGTGTTATGCCTCATCTTACTTTGAAAAACCGCAATACAGCGAGTCTGCGAACGTCGAACTGTGAAGTAGAGAGGGACTACTGTACATATATATTGTATACAGTATATAGTATATGTATGTGCATATATAAAAATATATATTTATATATAAATTTATTTATTTATTTATATGTTATGTTACAAATTGCATTGGAAGGCTCATGCTGGTAATGTAAAAGCTAAAATGTCAAAAACTATTGTAATCCTGAATAAAATAAAACATCTCCTAAATAAGAAATCACTTTACATGTTATACTGTTGTTTCATATTTCCATACATGAATTATTGTGTTGAGATCGGGGGAAACTTGTATAAAACCAACACAAAACCTGTCTAAATGCTCTAGGTTAAGGAGGTTGAGGAGCATTAAGTGTAGAACCACTAGACTGAGGAACAGCTTCTACCCTGAGGGTGTTAGACTCATGAATCTCTAACCAGAATAATCACTGTGAAAAATCACATCATGTTGCTGCTGATCTGTTTCATGTTGCTGCTGATATTAGTGCTTTGTGTATTACAAAGTATTTAGCTGATGTTTTTCTTAGTTCATATCTTAGATCGTATTACTGTTTTTCTTTTACATTTTATTGTTGGATGTAACTGGGACCCTGTGTACATAATCTCGTTCCACCACATGTACCACATGAGGTGCAAATGACAAATAAATCTCTCTGACTCAGAAGAAAGCTATACGAATTATAAATGTGTCTGATTATTTTCATCCATTTAATTACATATTCCTTACATGGCATATTTTTAAATTTTAGATTTATTTAAAAACCAAAGTTAGAACAAATATTAAAAACAACTGTACTTCAGTTCGAGGGATTCAAGTGTGGAATAGTTGTGAGGAGTTTCAACTGTGTTTTTCACTCTTTAAATTTAAAAAAATGTATAAAAATAATTTACTAAACAAATATAATAAAATTTAATTGTTTGCTTTTTTCCCTATCCCCCCCCCCCCCCTATTTTTTTTTTATGAGTTTGTCTATCAACTTAGCTGGAATTCCTTGATATGCTTTAGAAAATTATATAGGAAGAATTCTGCTGCTTTGATTTTAATGTATAACAAAGTGAAGGTATACTAAGCTTCTGCTTCTACCTACACGTTTTTCAGTCTACACTTTGTGTTTTTGGTTCTTAATTTTTTTACGAAACTGGTTTGGTTCAGAATTTTGATGCAAATTTAGGGACAGGACTGTCTCATTGCTTCTTCCTGTTCCCTTTTCGAACATTTTTGTTTTGTTTCCAGAATATTTTGGTCGAAATATTTACGTTTTTATTTCTTTATGGGTTTGTTGAAATTTTTAACTGTTTGAAATGAAATAAAGGATTATTATATATATACAGTATAGTAGAAGTCACTACATCCTGTTCTACCAGTCATGTTATTTCCATGTTATTTACATGCTGAAAGGATTATGACTTGTTCCATGTTGGAAAAACACTTGATCACTTCAGACTCACACTGCAGACCATGTGACATCTTCACACAGCCAACATTATCCATACGTTATATTATGTATCTACATTATTTTAGGTATACACAGATATTAAAACCTTAAAACATTCACAGAGTGGCTGATCTAAACTCGGTACTGTACTCCTTAAACCTTTTTTTTTATGAACACATTAAACACATTATCTACAAAATGTTTAAATGAGGAATTTGTTATTAGACCTTGCGTATGAATTATTTTCGTCATTACCGGTATATCTCATGTACTGAAGGCCCAGATTTTTTGCTTATTACCTTGCTTACCTCCCCTCAGCGTTTTTGTGGATTATAGTTCTTACATTTACTATTACATTACTGTTTGACCTGTAGTTTCCTATGCTTTTACTAAGAACTATATGTTTTGTATGTATATAACTGTGAATGTTTAAAATAAGTCTTGTTATTCAGATCGGTTTTTCTTCCGAACGTTTTTCAGCTCATAACTTGTTCATCAGTTTTTGTTTTATTTAAACAATACATGTCTCAAAATGTTCGGCTCATGCAGGACATTCCTGCTGGGACTTAGCTTTGTCGGCCATGTTTTACTCATTGAAGATGACTGGAGCTTTCTTCACATTCTTCAAACCCTTTGAGCTTTTTACAGCATTTTACTTCTAATTTCATCTGTTGTTCTGCTTCAGCTCTTTTTAGCCTCTTTTTTAATTAATTTCAGCTGTTGTTCTCCTTCAGCTCATTTTAGCTTCTTTCTTCTTATTTCAGCTATTGTTCTGATTCAGCTTCTTTCAGTTCTTTTCAGCTGTTGTTCTGCTTCAGCTCATTTTTGCTTAGTTCAGTTCATTTTAGCTGTTGTTCTGCTTCAGCTTCTTTCTGCTCATTTCAGCTGTTTTTCTACTTAAGCTTCTTTCTGCTTATTTTAGCTGTTGTTCTGCTTCAGCATTTTTAGCTTCTTTTTGCTCCTTTCAGCTGTTGTTCTGGACTGTTCTGCTAATTTTAGCTTTTGTTCTTTTTTTCTGCTTCTTTCTACCATATAAAGTATTTTATGCTCCTTTCAGCCTCTTTCTGCTAATTTCAGCTTTGTGTTGTTGCTAATTTCAGAATTGTTTTGTAATCTATTCTGCCTATATCAGCTGTTTCTACACATTTCAGCTGTTTCTATGCTGATTTCAATAAATGTCAGCTGTTCAAATTTGGCTCTCATTAACAGGTTAGAGATGAAACTTGACTGCTGCTTTCAGCAGAAATCAGCAATACGTATTTGTGTTAGGCGTTATATAACTAAGCTTTACTTCTTTACATTTTGCAATTTTATTTGTTTTACATACAGATATAGATGTTAGAGTTATATAAGCTGATGACCACTCGTGCTGATCTTTGAATACATCTTTTACTACTTTAACAAAGTTTATGTTTTTATATCTTAGCTCAGGCAGGAAGTTTTTTAAAAAAAAAACTCTTTAGCAGCTGAATCTCTGAGTTTGATTGGAAAACAGGTTTAGTCTGTTTGAACCTGGACCTCTGACATGAAACCATGAACCCACCAGAACCAAACCCAGTCAGAACTCACTTGATGTCCTCCCACACTTCAGGTCCATAGTTCCTCAAAACCAGGAGCTCCAGGGCGTGATTCACAAACCCATACTGTAACAAAATACATCAAAAACATCATTATCTCAACATGCAGCTTTCATCAAAAACATCCATTCGAGCTGGTCTTTCCTGTCTGCCGTCGTGAACAAACGAACTAACGCAACATTCAAACGTTACAAATGTTCATTAATTCCGGCCAACATCCCCGGCGCGAGACTGCTCTTCCTCCGAACAGGAAACGTCAAAACGCAGACGAACCACGGCGCGCGAGACAACCTGATCTAGGAGGATTCGTAGAAAAGACAAACAGTTTAAAGCTTCGTCTATGTACCATGGCGGCGGCTGATTTGCCTCTTCGACTTTACTTTGCGATAAAAAATGATAATTCAGGCAAAGCCTTCATCGTTCCGTACAGATGCTGAGCGCCTCCGAGTCCATCCTGACTGTTCCCACGCGCGTTACAGACGTCGGGTTCAACCAATAGCAGAGCGGGAGACTCGTGATGTCATCTGTATCTGACCAATGGGAGCGAAGTTACTGTTGTCCTAGTGACGCTTGTCAACCTGTCATTCCCACTAAGGTAGTGAAAATGCTAACAGCTAATATCTATTAATTTTCTTATAGTTTCCTAGTGTTTTATTGTCAGAAACAGCTTTTTGTACTCACTTTTTTCTACTACTGTAATACTTTATCCATTTATAATAAAACTGAGAGCACACAATGCCATAAACAAACAAAAATAAATATAGACGTCTCCTGGGACACAGAGAATCAGTCACTTAGTTCATAACAATATTTATTGCACTTTTATTACAATAGAGTAATGAATAAAGCACATCATTATGAGTGATAGTAAGACATTCAGTGAAGTCTTGCTGCGTCATCTTCCTCTACATGAAGGTGAAGAACAACTCATTAAATATGGTGCGTAAAGGAGGAAAAACAACTTGTCATAAATAAATGTCAAGAAATTCACTGTGACAAGAAAATACACCTTCAGACAGATGCCTATGGTGTTCTGCTTGTGAAATAAAATTTAATGAGAAAAGTTGTGAGCAAACTTAAACTTTAAAATTAAACTATTCATGTTGACTACTAGGCTATAATAAAAATAAAAATTAAAAATACCAACTGAAGACAAAGAGACCATTTCATTGTTGGCACATCTATGAATTCCCATAAGGCACCTGAATCTGCTCTGCGTTGATATAATTAAATGAAGTTAAATTCCACAAATTAAATTACCTTTTTATCAGTTTGTTTGCGTTCCTTTTTATTTGTTGTATTTGTTTTAATTGCTGCTCGAGGGCAAGGTGCTCATAAATTTACACATCATTACAGAGCACTATCAGTTCAGCTACATCACATCTAAAATGTATTTTTATAACAAATATAACTATCTCATATAACAAAAATACTGTAACAATCTCACTGTGTAAGACAATTTTACTTTATGTGAAAAACTCTTTTTTGGCAACACTGTTTTTTTTTTAATTATTATTATTATTATTATTTTCTGTATTTTGCACCCTTTATGTTAAAAAGAATAAAACAGTCCCAAAGTCTTTCCTTGACGGTCTGCATCTCTGTGGTGGAAGCAGGAAGTGAAAACACAAGGATACCGAATTGCAGAGATGACTCATTCTGGAAGAAAACGTGGTGAGCTTCTTTCTACTACAGTTGTACAAATATATAATAATACAGAGACAACACGTCTGACAACGAACTGACATCTTTGTAATCAAGCAGCTGTGAAGGTTTTGACAAGGAGACAACCCCGATCAGTTCACAGAATTAATTTCTAGTCGCACTGTAATTCTTTGACTCTGTTTTTTTATTTCTCGTATCTGCAATTCAGGGATTCGTGGCAGCTTGGCTTCATTTCTTAGTCAGTTTGGAAGTTTTGAAGGCCGCCTCCAGAAAGTAACAAACACCAGGGATGTCTTCTGGGAAGTTGGGCGGAAGCTCCTGTCGACTCCTGGGAACAAAGATGAACTCTGGGCGACCTCTCAGCAACCTGGGGCGAAGAAGAACGCACAAATAAAACGTGAATCTAGAAACAATGTGGCAAATTATTTGACAGGAGAGAAGACACAGTTCCCCTCTAACAAGCTGTGTTTCCTGTCAAGAGCACTTAGATTAGAGTTCCCTGTTTCTGGCTCAGATTATACTCTGGAGGGTTCGTAGCTTGTTGAAGAGGACTGTGTGTTATCAGCAGGTAGGAGCCGCTGCGACGGCAGCGTGGTCACCTGTGGGTTGTAGGGCTGATGTTGATCTTCCTGGGCTGGCTGCAGGACTCAAACTTGTTGGCCAGCGTGACGTTGTTTCCAAAAAGACAGTACCGCGGCATCTTGACCCCAACAACGCCAGCCAACACCGAGCCACTGTGGAGGCCAATACGCATCTGAAAAAAATCAATCAATCAATAAATCTTCACCCAAATACTCCTTACTGTTAACTGGGTATTTAAAGAACAGGCATGTCAGATGTTCTGTAATGATTCTGTAAAACTTGTACTAACTTTAAAGAATCTTAATAGAGTTTATGGAAAGAGTATCAAACTCAAGGCCAGAGGGCCAAGCATGGCCCTTGTAAACATCACATCTGGCCCCCAAGATAATGTTTTAAAAGTAAATTACAATAGTCCTTCGTTTATCGCGAGGGATCCGTACCATGAAGACCTGTGATAAGTGAAAAACCGCCATGTAGGAATTGTACAAGTAGTATATAGTAGTTTATATATATATATATATATATATATATATATATATATGCAATTAAAGTTCTAAAAGAGCACAGAATGTCATGATTTCAGCTTCCTGCCCCTTCTGCTCCTTGCCACCTGCAAGTGCTCTTGGCCACGCCCACTTCTCCACTCTGCACTGTGAACAGCTCATCCATGGAGAACAGCTGATCAGCTACAGCAGGAAGTTTATCCTGCAGTATGGGCTGCACAAATGTGCAACTGGTGCTAAATATTTTAAAATAATTCATTTTAAATAAAAATGCCATGCCGATCGTGCGGCTCATCCATTAATCAGCCAATTGTGTGGCATGTCCAATCTTATTTTGACAAACCGTGATGGAGCGAGTCCGCGATAAATGAACCGCAAAGTAGCGAAGGACTACTCTATTTTTATTTCTTCTCATTTTACATAAAAACGGAGCATACTCTTTTAGAGCAGACTTCTCCTGAGAGTTGTCCCACTCTGGAGACCTTGAAATTTTGAACATTTCAGTAATCTTTGATTTTCTTGTAGAAAGAGCGACAAGGGATGTCAAATGAGAACAATGAAACTTGTTGAGGAACCTACAACCAAAGCTACCAGTCAGGTAGATGACTTTATTGAAATTAGCTCTTGGTTTGAACCAAGTTCTCATTTTTTAACAATGTTTGGCATGCTTGCTTCAAGTGATCTGTCAGGTTTCACAGTATGTGATGGGCATGACTCTCAGCTACTACCACACCAAATTTCAGATTATTATCTGAGTTACTATTTTTGTGATTGCAAAGGTTGATTAACTGTTGTGACCATCTTAAATTGGGTTGACTTCAAAAGTTAATCAGTTGTAGCTGCATAATCAATGATTAGTCTCTGAGACTTTCTATTAAATCCATATAGAAGTTCATGAAATATTTTGCTAACAGACAGACAGGCATGACTCTAACAGTTAATACAAAAGTTTAAAACAAGATCTTATGGGAGCTATTAGTGCTCAGAGCATACGTTGGGGATGACTCTCAGCCACTACCACACTGAATTTCAGCTCATTGTTTATAACGCTCATAGCCTTTTTTGTGTTTGCTAAAATCAATTAACTGTGGCAGCCATGTTGAATTTAGTTGCCTCCAAACATTAATCAGTCATAGATTTACATCCAGTGATTAATTTCTGCAAATGTAATTAAAATCTGACCTCTGATCCATGAAATATTTTCCTAACAGACAGATTGTTCACCATTTCCTGGCTGTGGCGTAGGCGATAATAGAATTGTTAACTCTGAAGTTTCTGTATACGGAGGGTTTTAATCTGCAACACTGAATGGAAATGGCCGTTTGAATCTCTGTGCCGCAGTTAATAAGTTCATTGACGTCCAGCTCATCACAGACCGACATTGGGATCAGGGCTCTGGGGAGCTGTAATAAAGATCTGGGTGCATGTTTGGGGTCATGTCCTTGAAAAGAACAAGGCTGGGATCAATCCAGCACGTCCACAACTGTACACAATCTCTGAATCTTTTTCTAAAGTACTTTATGCTTGTTTGACTGTTCTCAATGGTTAAAGCCAACATGTAAAGTTTTTTTTTTTTTTTTTTCAAGGGGGATTCAGACAGGCTCATAGCAACCAGAGGAGACATGTCCTTGGTGGCATTTAAAAGGCTTTTCTTCTAATCTGTTGCCTGGGAAGCAGAGGATTGTGAGAACATTTTGTTTTATTTACTCAAACATATTTCCAAAAGGTCTTGTCCATCCCAGGCCAGCCGCAACTGTTCATTTCTAACGAGGTGGCTCGTTACAGTGGGGGTGCAGAGACAAGCGCTATTGATGCACGTTGTTCACACATTTGGGATTGATTGTGACAAGTTCAATTATGTCCAGAGGCATGCGGGTTATGTAACCTGGTTTTGGTACTGTGATGGATTAGGGTCCTGCAGATGCACAGTACCAGAACCAGGTTTGTAATCTCATCTACTCATGAATAACATATAATCTTATCTGACTCCAGTAATGGTTTTAAGGGTTTTAATTGGCTCTAATTCATGTTTTTTTTTTTTCCTCAGAGGCTAAATGTATCAAAAGACATTTTGACAATCTTTTATCTCATTGAAAGTATAACACAACTGTCATTTGAAGGTTAGATTCCATTCCACCCCTTCCCTTACTCTTTGGTCCTACGTTTTGTACATTTATAAGGTGGGTCGGGGTCTCCCAGGCTTTTCTGAGTTATATTTTGTGGGGATGGGGAACAGGTTGAATTTTCTGACCTTTAGAATGGAGACTCGTCAATGTTAGTATTTTCTTCATCAAAACATATCCCAGCAAATACTACAACATAGTTTTTAAAGACTTCCTTAATGAGCATAAAAAATACATCATATCTTGAGGTCTGCTGTGGTAGCTGACCTACACGGCATGTACAGCTGTAATAATGTCGTGCCTGCTAAAGAATATTAGGAAGAATGGCGAATGGGTTTATTGGAGTGTCCCAGAGATTTTGCTTTAAACTGATAATTGAGATCTTTAAAATAAAGTTCTGCTATAAGATTATGAAGAGTTAACATCTTGTCTGCTGTAAATAACTCTCTGAACGACCTCAGTTTGAAGAAACCAAACCTTTAGTTTTGTAGGAATGATGACATAACAGGTACTCTGGGCGAGGCCCAAACCAAAGCAGACTGATGCTGTCTTAAAACAACTAGTTTCAAAAGTGTTGTAACTGTTCATGCAAAGGGAACTTTAAAAACCTGTAAACTGCTCTCAAACATTACACAGATATGCCTCCAGATTTATTGTATTCCTGTTGATAGAGCTACAGCTAGCTGCTGCTGCTATTTGCACAAACCACAGAATACCATGTAAACAACCATGTGTCATTCAACTGACGGGGATGTCAAGGATCATATTTAATACATGTTTGCCGTAGTGTCAGTAGGGATCCATAGCAATGCTGCATTCACATGTTCTAGCAGACTGTCAGAGACTATGTTGTCATCTAGCCTTGGAAACGGTTGCAGCTAGCTTGGTCATGATCTTCAGTCTCTGGTCAGCTGCCCTTGTATTCAGTTCCTCAGGGCTTTCCAGTGGGGTTTGGTACCCATACACACATAGTGGGGATAATATTTTATACTGGATCCCATTTGACATCGGATCTTTATTGTACTTCGTCAATCTGACAGCAGATTTCTCTCCTGAACGTTGGAACACTGGGTCTGAAATTGCTTTTGAGTCAATCTGGATGATGGGTATAATAGGTTTCCATTATCCCCCATCCTTCCCATATAGCCTCTTTCTCTATACTTGCTTTTATAGTAGCATTTGAACAGTGTTGCCTGCCCTTGCCCATGAATGTCTTGCTCCAGTAGCCTTTTATTCATCAGAATGTACAAGTCTGATTGTAATTGTTCACAACCTTTGCACAGAATTACACTTCAAAAGAGCTGGACTGGAGGAGGATTTGAGCCAACATTCAGGAATGAGATTTGAGCCCAAAACAATTAGGTTTTGTTGTTAAATTGCGACGTCTTGTCCTGCAATCATTTGTTCTTTACAGACAGAATATGATTTTTTTTTTTTTTAATAAAACTCTTGATGTGAAAACTCTTCCATTCCTGGATGCTGTGTAATCCGATTTAATAAGCAGGATCACAGAGATTGGTGCTCAGCCCTCACCTGTATTGGTTCTCCAGTTGGTGTCATGCATTCATCTGAGAGCTCCATCATCTTTAAAGCCATGAGTGCAATCTGGACAGCGTGGGTCTCACTCTCCTTGTGTAAACCACCAGCTACACAATAGGCGTCACCGATGGTCTCCACCTGGATAGAGTGGAAGACTGTTACAATGAAGCCGACTCGCTGAGACTGAATAAAGTCTCGCAGGAGCTTTTTTGTGGTCTCTCCCACCCAAAATCTGGAGCTTCTTCACAGCAACTATAGTCACACTTCAAGCTTCTGCGTTTCTCATTTTCATCTGAAAGTCTTAAATTAGCTCTGCGACAAGAAGACGAGGAAGCTTAAACACAACGACAAATGTCAAGTGGACATTCGTCAAAATCTCTTCGATATTTCCAGGACTTGGAGACAAAAATGAAACACAGAAAACTATTTTCATATGATTTGTAACAAGACGTAATCTTCACACGTTAAGAAGTCGAGGGTTTCCTTTGTTTGGTTGTGTTTTTTTTCTGTTTTTGTATAAATCTGCACTGGAAAGCACTTAGCCGAGCGACTGAGATAAAGTGAAACTATTTTTAGGCTCGTCTATTTGGAGTGGAAACAGGGTCCTGAAACAAGTTTTTACGAGACGTTTGACAAACGTGCTTCTCTTTCTGTTTTGCTTTAGTGACACTTTGATTACATGATCCAACCTCCCTGCAGATGAGCAGCCTTTAGCAGACGATAGCAGCCGAAGCTGTCATCACACACCGACTTCTCATTGTAAAACACTTTGTTGAAAATACTAAAGAGCTAAACACAGTTTTGCGCCCACCAGAAAGGAAAAATGTACGCTTATATTTATAAAAAGGTTATAGATTGTTACTTTTGGAATAATATTTTCAGCTGTGTGATAATTATCATTGATAGAACCGTGTCTTTGAAAGTTCACAAGCAACGTTAACGCAATAATTCAAAACAAAAGAATTTTGTATAAAAATAACTATAAAACATTGTGTGAAACGGAACAAAATACATTTTTTTCTTTTCTTTAAACTTTTACTCCTTTTGTTGGAAAGAAGTCAGGAAGACGACCTGCGCTGACAGAATATGAAACCATTTTACAACCAATATTGACGCGTATGGAAGGGCATGAAGAGCATCTCAGAGTATGGAGGAAGGATGCTGATCACCCTCCAGACACATCACTGCCTGATGCTCTGAATAATTTCTATGGCTGTTATTCTCACTGCACCACGGTCTCCGTCTCACCGGGACGCTGCCCTTTAGTGTGTCTGCAGCTGCCGTCAGGAGGACCCTGCAGAGGATGAACACACGGGAAGCAGCTTGGCCGAGTCAGGTGCTAAGAGTGTCTAGGTTCTGACAAACATTTTGACATCTGTCTGTCTCAAGCTATGGTGCCTGTCTGTTCTAAAAAAAATCCACTATTTTCCCTGAACCAAAACATTCGGCTGCAAAAGGGATGAATGACTATCATCCAGCGGCTCTCGCCTCGGCTGCTGTAACGTCTCTGGAACGGCTGGTTTCGGCTCACATCAAGGGCTTGGTCAACATCACTGTGGACCCTCAGCAATATGCTTCCAGGAAGCATCCGTGCATGTCTGATATGGATTGTCATTCCCCTGTTCTTGCTCACCTGGAGGCCTGGGACTCATTTGTCAAACTCCTCCAGCTGCATTTGACCCCATCCTCCCACAGACTGCTGATGGACTAAATCCACCCATGTGCCACTGGGTTTAGGACTTTTTGGCAGGTAGCCTGCAGTCTGTGAAGGTCTGTGGTTTCTAGCATTGTTCTCCCCACATGAATGAGTCCTGAGCCCCGTCTTGGACTTTTTACTCCTGTATGGGTGTGTCCGTATGTTTGCAGATGACACCGTTGTGAGATTGATTTTCAACAATGATGAGGAGGGAAGTAAAATACCTTTTTCATTCGATGCATCAGTGTGACATAAACCTAAGAGATAGAGATGGACTCCAGGAGGAAAGCTTGCACCTCATCTCCCCCAATCAACGAAGGAGAAGCCAGGCGGCAACTGAGGCATGCACCTGTCCACTGACTTCACCTGGGACACATCCACAGCCTGCATGGTTCAAGGTGATATCTCAGGGGCGAACTGCAGTCATGAAAGTGTCTCCAGAAAGTTTTGCAACTTTTTCTGGGTTCTCAATTTTCTTTGGTGGGTTGCGAACATGTGCAGCCCTGACTCTTGAGTCTGAAACATGTTCAAAACCTGTGTGACAACTTTTCTCTCAAAAACATCACAGAGTCAGCACAGGCATCCCCGACCAATCTCAAACCTCCCTGGACTGTGTGTTGGACATCTACTACTGATCTGAAGGGACCATCAAAATGGAAAGCCATGAGTCATTGCAACTAACTTTACATGAATGTTGAGTACAAAGCTGGCTGAGGTGTGTGGGCTGAGGTGGATCAAACAAAATAATGTGCATGGCCAAGAGTAAAAATTTGAAAGCCATGCACTAGAGTTGCATTCGGGCACAAAAAATAAGATCCGACCCGGCCCCAGCCCGTAGCTATCATTTCCAAACCCGACTCGATGAATTAACAGTACTGTAATTACAGGTCCGAACCCGAAAAACAAAGCAGACATTTTTAATTTAGCTTTGACTGCTTATATAGTTATTAACGGTCGGCGGACACGTGCGTCTGAATAAAAGGGGCAGAAGATTGGAGCTGAGGGGGTGTTTGCCATTTCAGAATCTCACCTGTTTGGATCGTCGGCCACGTGCGTCCGCAGAGTGCAGGCTGAACGTCCATTTGTGCGATGGATCGTTTCATGGCAGTATAGTTCCATTTGAAGCTTAACTGAACTTTATTTTACCTCTTTCAAGGCCGGTCAGCTCACGGTGAAATGGCCGCGTGCAGCTGGTGAAGGTTTGGCGAGCCATGTTGCCATATAATTGGACCACAGCAGAGCCGCTGACACGATCAAAAGCCCAACACCGACCTGGCCTGCCCATCCAGCACATTATTATGACCCGGCCAAAATTTGGGTCGGGCCGGGCTTCGGGCCCAGGTTAGAAATGACGGCTCTAAAATGAAGCCCAGTGAGATGACTCCTTAGAACGGCTCCCAAGGACTGGGCTTTTAAGATCATTACTGCCCTTGCACTTTAAAAATCAGAACCCATTTATGTGGATATAACATTGTTTTATCCTATATTGTTAATTGTTTTAATTATTCTTTTAAGATGTGTGCTGCTGACCTCTGTGCCAGGTCACCCTTGGAAAAGAGAACTTAATCTCAATGGGGTTTTATCTGGTTGAAGAAAGATGATGACGATGATGATTTACGAGGTTGCTGAAGCATGCAGACCTCTGTGCTGTTGTGCTGACTTCTTTTTACCTGTGTGTGAGGAAGCGTCCTGCAGTTTTCAGAACAGTTTGTGTGGAAAATCTCTAAGGCTGACAAGAAGGAGCTGCAAAGATGGATGTGATCGGCTCAAAAACTGAGCAACTGTCTCGTGATCTCGTTCCCTTCAGCTGTCCTCCGCAGTTAGCTTAAGTTTGTTTATTCTTTGTTTTATTTATTTTAGACTGGTATGAGGAGCATGCTTTTCTCTCTTATGTCTCAGACGTGATGAACGAGAAATAAATCTGGTTCTGAACAAACAAACTGTCTCCAAACGCTTTCTCAGTCATTTGAAGTTGTTCTTTCGGCTGCTCCACCTGCAGGGCAAACTCACGTGAAACATTAGTTGTTTCTGGAAGCAGCCTGGACTCGAACACACACAGCACTGAACACCAAGCTACCACAACCACCTAAACTGGCTGTTGATGTAATTAAACTGCACAAGTGTCAAACATCAACCTTTTTTAAGGTTGTTGATGTAAAAACTGCAGACTCACTGTACAAGAAAGAAAGAGTGCATCGTGTCTGGATGAGCCTACCTTGTAAATATCCAGCTCCCCACACTGGTGGTCAAACCTGGTGTACAGCTCGTTGAGCATGGTGATCACTTGCATGGGTGTGCAGACGGCACAAACGGCCGTGAAGCCCACCAGGTCAGAAAAGAGCATCGTGACCTGCTCAAACTTCTTGGCCTGGACCGTTTCCCCCTGCCACAGCTGCTGGGCCACGGTGCCCGGAAAGATAGAGAAAAGGAGGTCCACCGTCTTCTTCTTCTCCTCCTCCAGCGCCTGGTGAGCCTGCTCCAACGCCGCTTTGGCTTTCCCCAGCCGCTTCTTCAGACCGTCCTGGGCTTTGGCCTGTTCTCCAACCAGGACCACGTCCCGCAGAGCGTTATGAATGGGGATGTCTGACAGGTAGAGGCCACGGCCCGTCAGCTCCTCCAGCTTGTCCACGCACGGCGAGCCCAGGAACAAGATGGCGTTTGACTCGGAGACATAAATCATCTGACCTTTGAGGTCCGTGAGCTAAAAGGATGAGGAGAGATGGTTAGATGAAATCAGTAGAGCTATCATCTTGCAGTTTAAAAAAAACAAAGGTTAACCATCTCTGCCGCATTCTCTGCTAAACTTGTTGAGATTGATTTCCTCAGCGCCATCTAAGAACTTTGAAATATAAAATCGCATACAATCAAAACGTTACCTTCAGACACATGCAGAGATATAAAACTTCAAAAAAAAAAATCTTGATATTTTTACTTATGAAGCTGCAGCTGTGTGCAAACATCAGCCACAAGAATAAACCAGGTGAAACGGGTCATTTATAATCCCGTTTATAAAGTCCTACCTCACACAACGCCTTCATTAGCCACAACAGCACGGCACAGAGAAAATGTCATTAGTTGGAGGGTCTGTAAGTCCACTAATCTGTTCTAGACACTACAACTATGGGATGGATGGTTGTTATTTATGATCCAGACATGAACGGGGGCGTTAATGGTGTTCAGGAGATAACTTAGTTGGGACTTTTTACCATCCAACAGACACCCTGGTGTTTATATGCAGTATGCTTCCTGTCAAGGGGATTTAGGTAAAGGTTTATGGATTTTATCACTGCTAATGTTAAATTAATGTTGAGCCAAGTGTGTGAGGTCAGAGAGTTCTTGTTGTCTCCCAGAGAAGAGTCTGCAGACACCTGCCGTCTCCGAGCCTGAGGTCGAGGTCATCGTGCTGATGAGCATCATAAAAACACTTCCTGCTCACTGTCCGGTAGAGCTGTCATTTCTAACCCAGGCCCGAGGCCAGGCCTGGCCCGGGCCAAAATATTGTGCTGGATGGGCGGGCCGGGGCGGGCTCAGGCTTTTGATTACGTCAGTGGACACACGCAGCTGACAATCCAATTTGGATCAGCAGCCGTGTGTGGCTGTTTGACCGTGCACTGACTGGCCGGTAGAAAGAGGTTTAAAAAAAAAAACAGTTCAGTTAAGCTTCATTTGGATGACTGCCAGCGATCATCCAAGCCCAGCTGGACTCGGTCGCTGCATCAGCGGACGAGGACGACCGACGACCCAATTTGGATCATCAGCCGCGCACGTCCGCCGACAGTTAATTACTATGATAATTATAATATTATAATGACTATAATAATCCACTGACTCTTGTTAATAAACAAGAAATCGTATATCATCCTTTCTTTGAAATATGTTTTTAAATCATGTCAAACTGATTTGCTTACAAAAATTTTAAAAATATATATATATTTTTTTTAGGGTTCGGGCCTGTTCGGGTCTCAATCTGTCTGTTCCGGGTCGGGCTCAAAAAAAAACCCTACGGATTCAGGCTGGGCAGGATTTTTTTAGGCCCGAATGCAACTGTACTGTCCAGTTGCAGATTCACATGACGAGGCTCTAAGCATGTAACTTTGAACATCTGTGAAAGCTTGTTTTTGTGACCGTCTGCCCTTACAAGTAAACTGGTTGACAATCTTCTCCTGTCTTTGTGTGGCTTCATTTCTGTAAGTAGATAATGAAATGAGATATTTATCCAACACTTTCTTCCTTAAACTCAATTAGTAACTGACGCTCTCTGCTGCTCGGTTGTTTTAGAGTTTGCACGTGAAACGATCGTTGTAATCAAATGATTAGTTGTTTGTGTTTGGATCTGAGTGACTGTGAGCTCCGTGGTGAAACGTAAATCCTGTTCTTCCACCGACAACACAGCCGTGTTTTGGTGCGAGAGGCCGTCAGAAACGCAGCACTGACTTCAGGTGGAAGACGTCTACTCGCTCGCCCACTCTGATCTCTGTCATGTTTACTCATTAAAGCTTTTTTTCCTTCCTGATATCTGCGCGCTCTCACAGAAATAGCATGTTCTGGGTTTCATGGTTAAAACGAGTTGACATTTGCTTCTGATCTCCACGGGGCGTGTAATGTTGAGCTCTACCTCGGGCCAAGTGTGCTCAAGTACAACACTAATGGGCTCAACTGCTTGTAAACAGCTCCATTTTGTCCTCCTGACTCGCTCCGTTTGACACCAACAGAATCGTGAGAGAGCCTTTCCTGCCTCGTTAGCCACTGAAGGACACTTGCTCAAGTTTTTTCACAGGTTGGTCCGCATACCTTGCCTGTGTTGTCGGTGCTGGAGCCTCCATGTTTGATCCGGATGATAAACTGAGCGTTTAACATGGTCAGAATACTCTGAAAGGTGCATTTGATCTGTGGAGAGACAATGGAGAAGTGTTCCTGGAAGGTAGAGGATCGCCTCTGTCCATCCCTCCTGGTGAGCCTCTTCCTGAGCCCGTGTCCTATTTGCACCAGAACCAGGTCCTGGTCAAGGATCAGATGGAAAGGGAAGATGGTGGAGAAGAGAGAGGTAGGGAGGGTCCCAGCAGAGGTGGCCCGCAGGGGGCTGGGGCTCAGGATTTTGGCCTCTTTGACCACCACTGTGTACAGAAGACTGGTTTGAGGGCTGGACTGCAGGATGCTGTCTCTGGTGTTGAGGGGATCCTTCAACACCTCCACGGCCGTGCGGTACAGCAGGCGTGCAGCGGCTTTAATCACACCAGGGAAGAACAGCTCGGTGGTGGGGTCGGGGTTGAAGAAGTAGACCGTCAGCAGACCTGGATCCTTGTCCAAGCACAGCACCGATGGTTCGTTTCCACAGCGGCCCTCGCCCAGGTCGGGCTGCACGCTGCTCTGCTTCAGCAGGACATTGAAGCTGTTGAGGAAGTCGTGCAGAGCTCCCCCCACCACTCTCAAAATCTGCCCATCCTCCTCATAACACACGCTGAAGATCTCCTCGCCGAGGGCGACTTTCAGAGCGTCCATCTGGACTCCTGTCAGATACACGAGAGGGGTGGGATGAGTAAAGATCTGAGCCAGGCTGCATGCTAACATCAGTCGGCAGCTGATTGGTCATTACCTGTTTTGGTTGAGTAACTGTGCATCATCTCTACTAAATGTTCTGCTTCACTTCTGCAGGTCTGGTTGTGAGGACAACAAACGGCAGGACTGGAAAGTCAACAAATGGTAAATTTAGACACACGAGGCTCAGCACACGGCAGCTTCGGCCACGTTTGGACCTAAAACAAACCGACTAAAACAAAAAAATTAATAAAAGATACATAAAATAAAAACTGTCTGCAGGGAATTTCTAGAAGCTATTTTGTCAGAGTTTTTATACAAACCAAGAAGATATTTTGAAGAAGTGTTCAAACTGAGTCAGTTAAACTTGTTCTTCGGCTCACTGAAACGACGCTCCCTTCATCGTGAAAAATAATTCTGTTTAAAGCAAGGACCTGTTTGTGTCTACATTCCTCTAAGATGTGATGGAGTAAACCAAAAAAATCATTTTACAAAATGTGACAAATAATCTGCATTAAAGCCAAGTGTTTGACCTTAATTAATATTTTATGTGCTGTGCAGCAGGCTGGTTATCTAAAGACAGCAGACGTGCCTCTGGGTGGTTTGGCGTCAGCAAACCCAGCAGCAGTCTGACGAGCTCACACTGAAGACTACAGATCTCCATGGTAAAGGTGAAGGCTGCCAGAAGCAGCTCCACGTTCCTCTGACCAGCTGACAAGGGTATTTAAAGAAGGTTCATGGGACTGCAGCCAACCTACTAAGATGTGGACGCAAGAGCAAATGCAGCCCCCAGTTAATCAGACAGATAATGTGAACGGTACAAAAAGAGTCGTGGAAACATTAAGAGCATTCAGGCTGACCTCCAGGATGCGTTACATTTAGAGTGACGACGTGAGACCTGCAGGCTTCATTACTGACAGAGAAACATCGAAGGAGTCTCCTAAATATTTGTTGGCAAACTTTCTGGAACTGACGAGACAAAACTGGAGCTTTTTGGCTTCAGCCACATCAGTTTTTATTGAAGTTATTTATTGCTTGTTGTAGGAGGGCTCTGCTGACGCCAGAGAAAATGCAAAATGTGAAGATGGTCCCACAAAAGCACTACAGCCTCTGAATTTATACTGCGGTAAAATTCACGAAGGCCTACGTGAAAAGTAAAAGAAGAGCTCCCTGTTCGTGCAAACAACTGAGCTGCACACGTGAGAACATGCTGACGTGAGAAAACCCAGAATGCCTTCTGTTTTCTGATGTTTCCATGCATTTGTCTCCGGGTCTCCTCAGCTGCTGGACTTTGTGTCTCCAGCATCATGTGGCTCAGAGGAATGGACTGGTGAACAGAAAGGCCTGCAGCCTGGTTGCTGCTGATCTGAAGTCATGGCGGGGCCTGCAGGGTTGTGTCAGGTGAGATGAAGGGAGATGGTTACCTGCTGGGATCTGCTGCTGTCATCATTCTGAGCAGGGCAGCGTGCAGCCTCTCAAACTGAAACACATCATCACATCAGGGGGTTATCGCACCATACACGCACGTGCTCTCTGTGCGTTTTGGGCCAGAAATGCGCCAAAGCCAAAGGCTGCGTGCAACGTGCGTGTGTGAGCTCACCTCTGGGCACGCCAGTTTTCGGATGCTGTCTCCAAGTGTGTGCAGGCTAACTTTGCCTCTGCCTGCTCTGTGTCGACGCGCATCCTCGCCCGTTTGTCCGTGCACGTCCGTGGAAATCGGCAGGAGGTCCGCGGCGCGCTCCTCCGGGTCCCGGAGCTCGGTGCCGGAGAACGGACAGTCTCCGGAGAGCTGCAGCTCCTTCAGCTTGGCGCAGAACATCTTCTCCTCTTCCTCCTCTTACCTCACCTCAGAGGCAGCCAGATGTGCTGCAGCTGCTGCGCGCGCTCGGAGGAGGAATCCGAGCATCTCGTGGTCTCATCCAGGACCAAGCTGCTTCACATGGACCTCACCAGAACCAGAGAGAGGTCTGGATTCAGGCAGAGCTGATGGATGGAGCCAGCATCAGCAGGAGACCAATGAGGCGGAGCAGGACCACGAGCTCAAGTCCAATCCGTGCGCGACAGGGGCTGGAGCGGCTTCTGAGGGACCTATCAGCCGAGACAGATCGGTTCCGAGCCACTGCCCGCGTGCAACACTGTTTTTTTTTAGTGTCCCCAAGATTATCGTTTGTCTGTGGAACCAGAACCCCCTCCCTGAAGAACACGAACCAAAATGTTCTGCTGGACTTTGACCTGCAGAACCTCCGAACTCTTCTGCAGACCTTATTCGTCTGCATGCTGCCACCTGAGAGCGCGTGAACAGGTGCACCTGGTGTGCACGCGCCTCATGTCTGCCATCAAACTGAAGACAGGAGGTGGAAAAGCTCTGATGGAGCCTTTAAGCTGCGTCAGGTCCTCCAAGTTATTTTAGTGTTTGTTTTTAGTTAAACGTGTTTTTCTTCAGGTTTTTTTAATTCACTTTAAGAAAACAGCAACGTTCAACTCTTCTCAGATACTCAACACTTTGGTGCTACAAATATATTGTACAAAGTACAAAGTACTTTTCCTGATTCTCTGCCCAGACATGTGTTAATAATAAAATCACGTCTAGACTGAACTATTGTAATGGTTTATTATCTGGGTGTCCAAATACTTCTTTAAAAAGTCTTCAGTTAATCCAAAATGCTGCTGCCAGAGTCTTAACTGGAGTTAGTGGGAGAGATCACATCTCTCCAGTTTTAGCTTCTCTCCAATGGTTCCCTGTCAAATTCAAAATTAAATTCAAAATCTTACTTCTAACCTACAAAGCTCTCAACAACCTAGCTCCATCTTATATTTGAGATCTTATTGTTCCATATTTTCCTAACAGAGCACTTCACTCTCAGGCTGCAGGTGTGGTTCCTAGATTTTCCAGGAGCAGAATGGGAGGAAGATCTTTCAGTTATCAGGCTCCTCTCTTGTGGAACCAACTTCCTGTTTCTGTCCATAAAGCTGACACATTGTCCAGTTTTAAAACTGGGCTTAAGACTTTCCTTTTTGATAAATCCTATAGTTGGGGTTGGCTTGTTATGCTGCTATAGGCTTAAACTACTGGAGGACAAATTGACCTAATTTCTTAAATAAATTCTGCCATACCAAACCCAGTGTGTCGAAGCAGATGGTCACTTGTCCTGAGCCTGGTTCTGCTAAAGGTTTTCCTCATGAGGGAGTTTTTCCTTTCCACTGTCGCCTTCATGCTTGCTCAAGATGAAGTTAGACTCAAAGCATTCATCACATAAATAATGTTATTAAGTTACTTTAAATTATGTAAATGTTTCTGTTCAGTGTCCTGAGATGACTCCTGCTGTGACTTGGTGCTATAGAAATAAAGTGAATTGAAATGAATAAAACAAGTTGAGGCTGACTGTTGCTTTATCACAGCAGAAAACATTAATTAATCTCCCAGAGTCAGATCTTAGATCCCATAAATACATCAAGCTTTGAAGAAGAAGAAAAATTATAAAGTGTTCCTGTCAGATCACTGAATTGTTCAACTAAATGTCAAGGATTGTGCTTTTTATTGTAAATTATGCCATGCTCCTGTTTCATTTGTTTTATATTCAAACACTTAAGGAAGAAACTTTATTTTATTTATAACATAATTGTTTTTAGTGTCATCATTTAGGTTGTGTCTGAAAAAACAAGGAGCTCTCAGCAACATAATGATCTCAAGTTAGTTGAACCACAATGAGCTACAAGTTGAAATCCAAGCTCGACTTCAGGGCTGACAGAGTTCTGACCAAATGTGCATTTATAGAAACGAGTCGGACTCAGTCATCAGTTGTTGTGTCACTGAAAAGACTGTGCTCACTGGTGTCACAAGGATTATTACTTATTGAAAATCATGGTTTCATGAACAGAAATAGTCTCCTGGGATCATCACGAAATCCAGCTGCTTGGCCTTGTTTGGTCTGAGCGAGCCGATCCTCGCTGAGGTTTTCATTTTCCCACAAGATAAAAACTTCACGCTGGATCAGAAAAACCCGGTGGTCCTCTGGAAGATGATAAATCTTGTGCTCCTCTTAAAGAAAGCAGAGTGAGTCTCGACAGCTGAAGGGAGTTCACGGTTCTTACCAGGACTGCGGTCCTGACTGACCCGGACCTGCTGAGGCCTCCTGTCAGATCTGGACCAGTTCTGACAAACTGGGTCACTGTGGATGGAGTTTTATTTTGAAATGGAGTCAAATAAAGACAGACTAAACCAGCCATGTGGCTAAGGACTAGTCCACGACCCAGAAGCCTCTGTCAGAAATTATTAGTTAGTTTTATTTATTTTAAAATGAAAATAAATTAAATCCAGAGTTTTTAACCGGAGCCAAACACCAGCTCCAGTTTACACGACTGTCAGCACAAAGTCAGCTTCACTTTAGAGCTTTACACAGAAATGAGTCGTGTTGTCTCTGAAAGCTCTGAGTTTTCAAACAACCACTACTATAAAAACCTGCTTAAAGCCACCCCCCAGGTGTAACACACACACACCCCTGTAGCACCCCTCAGGTACCCGTCAGGTGTAGCACCCCTCCAGGTGTAGCACCCCTCAGGTACCCGTCAGGTGTAGCACTCACCAGGTGTGGCACAGGTGTGGTGTAGCACCCATCAGGTGTAGCACCCACCAGTTGTAGCACCCACCAGGTGTAGCACCCCTCAGGTGTTGCACTGCTCAGGTGTAGCACCCCTCATGTACCTGTCAGGTCTAGCAACCCCCAGGTATAGCACCCACCAGGTGTAGCACCTACCAGGTGTAGCACCCCTCAGGTACCCATCAGGTGTAGCACCCACCAGGTGTAGCACCTACCAGGTGTAGCACCCCTCAGGTACCCATCAGGTGTAGCACCCACCAGGTGTAACACCTACCAGGTGTAGCACCCTTCAGGTACCCGTCAGGTGTAGCACCCGGTGTAGCACTCACCAGGAGAAAAACACACCAGGTGTTTAACCTGTCTTGTGTAGCACCCCCCAGGTGTAGCACCCCCCAGGTGTAGCCCCCTCAGGTGTGCCAGTGTTCACATGTGCAGCTGCAGACATAAATAACAGACTTGGTTTTATTTTAACTTAATATTTTCATCAATTTGCAGCATTGATCTGGTGAAATACTGCTTGGTTTTATTGTTGTTGTTGTGTTGTTGTTATAATAATAATAATAATAATAATAATAATAATAATAATAATAATAATAAGTATGATTACTATTTTGTAATTTTTGGTGGGGTGGGGGGGCCGATACTCTGTTCTGGAGCTTTTATAGTTCATACTTTATTTGTTTAACTCTAGAGTTTTATAGATTTATTATAATTAACATTATCACATTTATTTATTTATTTATTTTTACTGTTGATTTTTAACAGAAAAACCTGTTTTTAATTAGTTTAAATGGAAATAAAATTCTTTATATTATTATTACATATACTTATTATTTTATTTATTTATTATTTCTTTAAAAAATAATTATGAATAAGCGTGTCAGTCTGTAAATGGATAAAAAACAGATTGAACAATGTGTCAACAAGAGATGTCAATTTAATTTTAACAAAAAGCTTTTTTTATTATTTAAAAATCTGAGCTGACTGAGGAATGGAAATATTATCAAATGAAAACTATTTAGTTTTAACAATTCATTTAAGGAAATGAGGTAATTTTGTCCTCCAGTAGTCTAAGTTTATGGCAGCATAACACACAAAGGCACAGAGAGACACAGAGAGACACAGATACAGAGACACACAGATACAGAGACACAGATACAGAGACACAGAGACACACAGACACTGAGAGACAGACACAGAGACACACAGACACTGAGACACAGATACACAGATACAGAGACACACAGACACAGAGAGACAGACACAGAGAGACAGACACAGAGACACACAGACACAGAGACACAGATACACAGACACAGAGACACAGATACAGAGACACACAGACACAGAGAGACAGACACAGAGAGACAGACACAGAGACACACAGACACAGAGACACAGATACAGAGACACGCAGACACAGAGACACATACAGAGACACACAGACACAGAGAGACAGACACAGAGACACACGGACACAGAGACACACAGACACACAGACACTGAGACACAGACACACAGACACAGAGAGACACAAAGACACTGAGACACAGACACACAGACACAGAGAGACACACAGACACTGAGACACAGATACAGAGACACACGGACACAGAGACACACAGACACACAGACACTGAGACACAGACACAGACACACTGAGACACAGACACTGAGACACAGAAACACAGAGAGACAGAGACACAGACACACAGACAATGAGAGACAGACACAGAGACACAGATACAGAGACACACGGACGCAGAGAGACAGACACAGAGAGACACACAGACACAGCGAGACAGACACAGAGACACTGAGACACAGACACAGAGAGACATACACAGAGAGACAAAGAGACACACAGACACAGAGAGACAGACACAGAGACACTGAGACACAGACACAGAGGGACAGACACAGAGAGACACACAGAGACACAGAGAGACAGAGAGACACAGTGAGGCACAGAGAGACACAGTGAGACACAGTGAGACACAGTGAGACACAGAGACTAAATGAGACACAGAGAGACAAAGCTGCAGTTGCATCGTTGCCCGCCTCTCTCTGGCCTCAGACTTTAGGACATAACGGTGATTCAGCTGTAAGAATTAATAAAATGTCTGTTTTTTATTTCTTCTTCTTTTTGATTAAACTGTAAATTAAACTTTAAACTTTTTAAATGAAGCTGAATATTGTTTTGTTTCAACAGTTTCCCGTGTCTGTTCTCATTAAAGTGATCAATAAATGAACTGAACGTCCTTTAGAGACGAGTCAGGAATGAAAACCTGAGAGTCCCACAGCAGCAGTGTCTCAGAGTCTGCTGCTCATGGAGACCATCACTCAGCACTGGTTGTTTGTTTGTTTGTTGGTTTGTTTGTTTATGCTCCTGTTTACACTTGATGTATGATGACTCATCTCATGCAGCGAGTTAACGGGAAGATTAAACCTGTAAAATATATTTTTAATGTGTTAATCTTTCTTCAGATTGACGCTCTCGAGTCTCTCGCCTGGTTGAGTTCTGGAAGGACTGTGGAGGACAGGAGGATGTTTGGAGACGTGTCCTGCAGTCTTTCCTCTGGTCCCTGTGTCCCCTCTGTTATGACGGGGACACACCAGAGATGACAGCAGCAACACAACGTCCTCTGCTCCTGGCCAGGACTGGAACCAGAACTTTTGGTGGGTTTGAGTAACCCTTCGTATCACTCGCCATCGAAGGTGAAGGCGGGCGATAATGTTTTTGAGTGTCTTCTGTTGCCCAAATGTCCCCAACATGTTTATCTAATGTTTGAATGAAACATGCAGAGTCTGCACAGTTTCCAGTGAAAACATTGATTTTAATGTCTAAAACAGGGGTGTCCAACTCAAGGCCCGAGGGCCAAATAGGGCCCATATAAACATCTTGTCCGGCCCACAAGATGGTAAGACTTTAAAAGATCTTTTTATTGCCTCTCCTTTTGCAAAACTAAGCGTCCTTTACTCAGAGCAGACTTCTCATGACAGTTGGTCAACTTTGAAGTCCCCAATGATAGTTGTTGGTTTTTTGGGTTTTTTTTTTTTTGTGGGGGGGGGGGGGTTGCAATCTTTGATTTTAATAAACAGCAGCAGCACAAACATAAGTCTGTGTGAGCAGATGAGTACAAATGAATACAGCAGCATGAAATAATCAGCAGCATGAGATCAGCAACATGGATAATCAGCAGCACATATCAACAATCAAAGTGGCATTACAGTGATTTATTTTTTTTTTTTTTCACAGGGATTATTCTGGTTAGATATTCATGAGTCTAACAGCCTCAGGGTAGAAGCTGTTCCTCAGTCTAGTGGTTCTACACTTCGTGCTCCTCAACCTCCTTCCTGAGGGGAGCGGGGCAAAAAGTGTGTGTGCTGGGTGAGTGGGGTCCTTCATGATGCAGGTGGCCCTTTTCCTGCATCTGGAGGCGTAGATGTCTGTGATGGTGGGGAGACTGACTCCAACAGTCTTCTGTGCAGCCTTCACCACTCTCTGCAAAGCTTTTCTTTCTGCAGCTGTGCAGCCTCCATGCCACATGTTGATGCTGGAGCACAGGATGCTCTCCACTGCACACCTGTAGAAGGAGGTGAGGACTGAGATTCCCAGACCAGCTCATCTCAGCCACCTGAGGAAGTAGATCTCTTTGAATTTTGAAAAGGGTTCAAGAAAGTTAATTAGCTTAATCCACTGATTATTTCATGCTTAACATCAAGTTTTAATACGACATGGTTGTAAACATACAGATGATTGATTTCATATTGTACATTTTGTCATATTGATGTCTTAAATTGTGTCCTGAAAGGACAAGGTGTATATCTTTTGTGTAATACCATTATCCATTCCTCATGGTCTTTCCCCTTTTCTATCTAAAAAATAATGGGCCGCGCTCCTAGGAGCTGCAACCATGTGCACTCTGCCCATCTTTCGGACAACTGTACAGAATATAATCTTGCTGCACTTCATTGCAATGATAATAAAGCTTATTCTGATTCGGATATTTCTGCTCAAACAACTCATTTTCCCAGAAATTCAGACAAATTCTGGACATTTCTTTGAACCCACAGATCCAAAGCCGGCCTCATCTGCTTCAGGTGCAGAGCGTGTTCAACATAAGCTTATTCAGGCTACAAAAAATAATTTAAAGAGTTGTAAAAGGACTGTAATGTCAGCTGCTTCAGGTTTTTTGTTGCTCAAGATTGTGTAAATAATTCTGCTGTTTTGTCTCAAGTACTCTGAGGAGTATTTTTAATTAGTAGACGATAGACGGGTGTCTAAAATGCTTCCAGCCGAACATTTGTGACAGACGTGACCCATGGTGGTCCATGACCGTGCAGGGCCGCCATATTCACCACCGAGAAATATCTAGCTCTGCGTGAACTCGGCAACTATTAACACATTTTCAAAACACCTAACATTTATATATATATATATATATATATATATATATTAAAAAAACATGATCACCCATTAAAACAGAGAAAACTGATGTGAGGATGTCACGGCTTTGTTGCATGAGGGGATGAGCTGCAGGCACTGAAGCTGGAATAATCCGATTCTTTACGCCTTTCTACATTTTTGTGAAGACGAAGTGGCCTCAGAGACCTTTCACACAACTACACAACGTTTAGGCAGCTGAACTTCACACACTCTGGAGCTTTTGTGTCTTTTTTATCGCTTTAAACTAATATCTTTGCCTCATATATAAAACTCGGTTAATGCTATGAGAACATTTAGATTTAGTGTGTTGGCTTTGTTGAAAATGTTTTCTGTCTGGTTGGATAATCACCCAGACTTTTACCTTTCAAATCCAGAATTTGTGAAATAATTCCCAGACTCTTTGGAAAATTTTGTGGTCATAGGATGTTATATATAGGAAGCTGCGTTCAGGGACACGTTGAGCATGTCATCTTCCTGTTTGTGGACGGAAGCTGATAAATAAGTAACTTTTTCCTGCTGCAGTGATCTCCACCATGGTATGTACTGACAAGAGACTATACACACACACACACACACACACACACACACGTTCGATTTTGTAGGTA